TAGTGCCTGATTTGCTGGGGGCAACCAGCCTGGCATGGGGCTTGGAATGACGAGATCTTTCAGGTCCCTTCCAACCTAATACATTCTGCAATGATTTGCAGCAAAGCAGCATCCAGGCCCACATCCCATCTGGGAAGCACAGAGAGCAGCTCCTGCTCCAAGGCGTCACATCCAAAGAGCAGAACAGCAGACAGTAAGAAGATGAATGACCATGAGAAGACGTGGAGCTGTCAGTTACCTTCACAACTACTGATGACAGTGGTGGAATTTGTGCACACCACCAGGTTTGGAAACTTCTGCGAGAAATGTCTCCTCTCTGATCCAATTTACACAACTCCATGGATGGATTCTGTGGGTTCTGTGGCCAGTGTGCCTTCAACTCCAAGAAGCACAGACACGTTTTCTGAGATCATGGAAAGCAGATGATTGATGCTGGACTTGAGGATTAAAGGGCTGAGAGAAGAAAATTCTAAACCCCATTCAGCATTTTGGGGGCAAGAAAGCGCACATGGTTCATCAAACACAGCTCTGTAAGAAAGGCAGTGCCATTTTCTGCCTGCTCACAGCATTCAGAATATTCAGACTGCACATCATATTAACCCATTCTGTTAAGAGAGAAGCGCCTCCACAATCAGTGAGCAAGAATAATAGCAGGAAATCCTTCTGGCTCCCTGGTTCCATCGCCGAGTGCCCCTTTTGCACAAGCGGTGCCAGTTGGGGCTCCTGCTCGGCTGGGAAATGCGCGAGCCCCGTAAGCGAGGCTTGAATAAAAGCAGTCGACAGATGGCAGCACTCCAATGGAAAGTCTCGCCACCTCTCCCTGCCCGTCGTTTCCCTGCGGGATGCACGCAGTGCATGCAGGCTTTATCAGCCGGTGGAGTTTCTCATCTCCTGGTCGCTGCTTTTGTTAAAATACAACACAGATTTCAGGTTAATCCATTTCAAACATAAAGCTATTTGAATGCCGTGCAGAGCAGCTAATGCCTCTCCTCACTCTTGTAACAAGTGAATGGTTTCAACGGCAGGACTTCAGCCTCCTCCCTTGGAGGAGCCCTTGGTCGCAGTGCTGCCCGCAGCTCTGGAGCACGATCAGCTGCTTCCAAACACCCCGTCAGGGCAGCAGCTCCAGGTCACTACCAAGAACTGACATCTCGTGCTAAGTCATGCCTTCTGCCTTTCTGTCCTCAGATACTGACTTCTATCAAAGCCCTTATTTATTAGGTCTGCTCACTCAAGAGGCAGAATCGTGCCAAACAGGGAGGGGCCCAGAAGACACTTCACTCTCAGTGTCTCTTGCTAAGATGTGTGTGTGGACAGGGTCAGTCTCTTCCATCAGTGTTGCCAGGTACAACACAACAAATCCAAGAATGTTCTTGCTTGCATTTGGGTTTGATACTGACACGCACCACATCTGCTGTTCCCAGGCACTGCTGCAGCAGTCAGAAAGGTTCCAGCTAATCCACACAAAGCACTGTATAGCTGTCGATGTGAATTACATTCCTAGTTTTCCAATCAGATTTAGAACAAAACTGAATTCTGAACTAATGCTCAGAGCAGCTTCAGAATCGGCAGCCGCAGATGAGAGTTCCTTGGATTAAAGTCTTGGCTTCATTAGACTGCATCAGATCCTACAAAGCTCTGATGGCACCGAAGTTCAGCAAGATAGGTTTAAATGGAATATAATTATTTTACAACTTGAGATGACTAAGATTAAGGGTGTTCCTGTAATGTTTAATAAGCTCTATTAAAAATTCTCGATGAGGAAGGAATAAGAACAGATCACACAGAGCTGTTCACATACTGAGATGTTAAAAACGTAAGGCTTGATTTTCAAGGTTATATTTTAGGACTCGAAAAACTCGTATAAGCTGTTGTTTTCCAAAGTTGCCTCAAAAAATGTAACACCCAATTAACCATAACTTGCCCGGCAAACTTCAGAGTGGGAAGAGAGTGATTCCACTATAGATTGCTTCAATACTGCTTGCAGTTTTCAACTGAGAGAAAGCAACTGGGAGTGCAACACTATCAAAATAGCTGAATGCAACGGCTCCTGAACTTAGCAGTCCCTTGGAGACCAGCGCAGAAGGATGGAGATGTCAGGGAAGAACAATCAGCTATAAAATATGAAAAGCCTACAACATCAAAACCTACAGCAGAAGGCTCAAAAGTAATAATCCCATTACCACTAAACTACAGCACTAATTACTATTCCCAGTGGCTGGAGTGGACTGACTGCTAATGCTCCTGTCTGGTTAATGAAGGAAGGTGAGGGAGAATATTTCTTAAGTCAGACATATGCTGAGATCTGGGCAGCCATAAAAACTATGTATGTAATGAAGCCATTCATATTAATGGCAGTAACATTCGGAGGGCTGAGCAGAAACAGAAATGAGATGATAGTGCATAGTAGCTGAGAGGAGATAAATGCTACGTATTATCCATCTGATGATTGCCCTTACTTAATCCACACTGAATAACCCAGCCAGTCAGAGGGAGCAACCACATCCCAGCCAGGCTGGCTCACTACCATGTGCGGACCTGCTTAACCCCGGGAATAACTCCCCCAAAAACATGAAGCAGGAGGCATGTCCTTGGAACAGAAACAAGCAGCATTTGATTTTCACTGACTACAAATGCACTAAGAAAAATGCTACCAGGTCCACAGTCTTTTGAAGAATCCAGATTTTGCCATCCTTCTTTGCCTCTTTCACCGCTAGTACAGTGTTTAAGGTTCAAAGATGCTCATTTACGGAGGCAGACTCTGTGGAACAAAAGACACAAAGCAAAAGCATGCCTATTCAGTTAGCTTCACTGTGTTCCTGCTTGCTGCGCTCAGAGGATCAGAACATTTATAACTGGCAATCAATTCAGACAGATTATGGCTTGTGGAACAAGGGGTTAGAGACAAAAACTTAGTTTCTCTGCTGGCACTGGAACACGATGCACCTTGTTTAGCAGGAAGGTGATGCCACAAGGGGAGCCAGAGCTAAGGACACTCTCTGTGTTTTGCCCTGCTTGAACTGGGAAGTGCTGGGAGAACAACTTTCATCAGCTCTAAAAGAAGAAAACCAAACACACCCCTACAGCAAATCTCTTATTGTTTTTCTGTTTCATTATCTTCAGTATTTGCTGTGTACCATACACACCTTCCCAACAGAGCTCAGCTCCTGCCATCCACTCACTGCCTTCAGCACTTCTTCCCATCTCATTTAGCAAACAGATCAGCTCCAAACCCCTCCTCCTTACATATTCAACATGCATTTGGATACTGTGCCTACAGAATATAAACACTGGAGAGAATGTTGTGCAGTCACTAACTCACAACTTGCAGAACTAAAATAAACTCCTTATGCAAACCACTGGCAGTGATTCATTCCCAGTACCAGAGTTCTCAGGTGAACTGGGTGTGCTCGGGTTTTTTTTTTAGATTGCACCATTGTCTTTCCTTTGAAATTCTGGTTTTACTCACCTCAGTTTGTTATGAAGCAGCTGAGCCTGTAAGTAGGTGTGGTTTGCAGAGGAAACATATAAACACACATCAGACAAACCAGCTCCAAGACCATTGGTCTTGTCTCTAAATGAAAATACCTGTGCTCAAGCTTATTATCCACATTCAGCAGATGTTTCCCTCTTAAAACTATAACCTCCTGGCGGCCCTGGCCATCACTCATACTCAGCTCATCTGTAAGGCACGATACTCATTCTTAAAAACTGATGAATGCATTTCCCTTACTTTTAATGGAGTTTACCTCCAACTCTTACCCAAAAGACCTTGGTGTCTTCAGCTGATTACAAAACTTCAGCCTCCCAACAGGCTGTTTCATTGACTACAGATGTGTTGGGGCCAATGATGCATTAAAAGCAAATCAGCCACTCGCAGCTCCAACTTCAGTGCCTGCTTTCTGGGAAGTGTTCTGATCCCATCACTGTGCCTCAGTGTACTCCTCTGAGCATACTCCTAAATTAAATAATTACTTGGATTTGATATTATCAGTTAGATAAATAATCCTTGCAAAAATTAAGGCGATCCATTCTAGAAGCCTATGTAATACCTGCAGGATGTTAGAGGGGGAGCACTGATGCACGTCGCTGCGCACGTTCTGCCTAAAGAAGACTTTTAACTCAGTCCAGAGCTGATCTCTGAGGCATGACAGGGCCTAAAAATCTCTAAAGCTGTGAGCCAGCCTGCACAGCCCAACTTACAGCAGAGCAGACAGGCAGGAAGTGCAGAGCTCTGTGGTTGGACTCCCTCCTCTTTCAGATTCTGCAGTGAATCTCTTGGCAATAACTCTGACCTAGGCACATCTTAGACCTAGGGCTCAGCAACAACAGCTCCCTTAGTCAGCCACTAACTGACTTCTTTGTATCTTCGGCTCCCTTATTTGTAATGGACACAGTAGTTCCCTTCCCCATGGGGTTCAAAGACCCGGTTTGTTCTGTTTGTGTTTGGTATCACTGTTACTCATGTTAGTGGTGCTGCTCTTTTCCACTCCCAAATGACTTCCCATTCTTTACCTGCTGTTATCACAACAAAACAGCAATGTTAGCAGAGAACTGCAAAACAAAACGACTGAAGAAATGTAAAACAGAGAATGGCTCCTCCTGGCTCCTGCTAGGAGAGGATAACAGTTTCTGGGGAGCCATCAGCCTGGCAGGCTCTTTGTATAGAAGCTTCTGTAGAAGGATGAGGATGTAAGGTACAGTTTCAGAGTGGGAAGTACATCTATGAATAAAGTGCATGACCCAAGGATTCACAAATGAAACCTCACTGGGAAAATCTTTCAAATGGAACAATTCACCCAAACCTGCTCTGGATTCTAATACAAATCTAGTTGCTTTACAAAGAAATATTTTACAGCTGCTTGTTGCTGACAGTATCCAACAATTCCGTATGTACTCAATAAGTACTCAATAAGAGGTAGCCAAGCTGTTCCGTGTACAGCACTGCCCCGACTCCCGGGCTGAGTGAATCCTCCTCCCTTGCGCAGGCAGACACTCACCGTGACGCGGAACGGCGTTGTGGCTGCAGGCTCCATGGTGGGGTTCCGCTCCGCCACCCCGCTGGGCATCGTGCGCCTCTGCCCACACCTCTCGGGGGGAGACTCTGTGGATGGCAGAGGAGACAAAGGAGAATTACAACACATAAGCGCAGGAATGGCAGCAGGCCGCGCAAAATGCAGCTCCTTGCTTTGAGGTGCCCTTGCAAATGAGGCAGCGCCACCATCGCGTTTCCTGCAGCCGCCCTGAACAATGTTCAATCAGCAAGACTTTCACCTCCAACAATTAGCATTTTTTACAAAAGCGTAACCTTCAGATGATGCCTGGCAGGTTGGCATTATCGTTATTTCCTGTCTGCAGATGAGTAAACAGAAAACACAGCCAGCTGAGTGACAATTATATGCAAAGTACAGATGCTTGTACATGTGGACGTCATACTCCCAAGGGAAACTGCTGATGGGGTTACAGGCACAGGGTGTTTCAGTTCTCTAATTCCTCCAGAGATTTCCTCTTGACCACTTTTGAAGGACAGTATGGATTTGTAACACCAATTTATTTACTAAACAATACAGAATCCAAGCAAAGGCAACAGTAAATTAGCAGCTATTTCAGAGTGACACCACAGAGTGCATTTTTCCCACAGCTGTTCCTTTTTCAAAAAATTGGAGAGCACAAAAACGCCCACAAAAAAAGGAGCTGACGTAAATTTGGGGAACTCATTCTAACACAGTTTCACGCACAACAGGAATGGCCACGAATGACATCATTACTATGGATCCTGGGAATGAGTAGCCTGTAGAATACCTGCTGCACAGGGAAATCTGAAGACATAGGCTGCTAAAGGAAGGCTTCTACAAATCAGTGTGCAAAGAAATCTAAAGATGGAACAGCCTATCCTTCAGATTGTCTCAGACAATTATATTCTCATAACTAATAGTACTTAGAGGCTGTTTGTTTGCCAGTTCTCAGCCTCTGCCATCTGCAATTCGCTGCAATCAGGTCTTGGCAAGGAATGCTGTCCCCTTAGCAAGGCCTTCCCCTTGCCAAGGTCTGCTGTCACCCAGGTTCTGTAAGAAACAATCAATAGCTGCAATTCCACTCAACAGTTCCTGAGAAGTACCCTTAGCTACTGTGAAGGGACAGACTGCAGATTCCTACTGCAGACTGGATGGGTGCTCAGTGTCATCTTCCTTGGTTGGCAATCCCACCTGTATTTCCTCACCAGTCACCCTGCAACCTCCCCAAGAGCCCGACGGCCAAAGTCAGCCAGCTCAGTGCTTTCACAACTCCTGGCCAAGCCCTCTCATTGCTTCGTTACTTTAACTGCAGAATGCTGCACTTTGAATCTCAAGGAACAACCAAGTCCTTTGTTACCTCCTCTTTCCATATTCAGGCTCCCAGTGCCTCCCTTTGAACAGTGGCCTTTTAGGGGCTGTCGTAAAGGAGCAACTGGAATACAGAACTTCGGAAGTGAGTTCAAGACGACAAGATGACCAAAGAAGCTGCTTTGCATTTTCTTGATGACCAGACCAATAAATACTGTATAAAGCACTTCTCATATGCATGGCTGGAAAACAGGAATGATGGGATTAGGTGAGAAGCAGCTGCAGGGCAGAGCTGAGCCTCCTGCACAGGACAAGGATGGGCAGTTTTGCACAGCACTGCCTTCCCTGCTGTGGGATGTCAGAGCACAGCACAGCTTTCTGCTGCTGCAAACTCTCGGTTTGCTTCCTCCTCTAACCACACAGGTCAGACCTCCTCAGAAGAAAGGACAGTGTGTTATGACCCAGGGCTGATTAATACCTGGCTCTAATGTCACTGCACTGAAATCACAAACTGTTCTCTTAAATCATTACTCTGTGATTACAATCTGCCCAAAGCAAAGCTGGCTGGCACAACTCCGACCCAGAGCAAAGCACAGAGGTGGGTCAGCAGCAATGCCTCTTGTTCTCAAGCTTACAGTCACAGCTCCATGCTAGCCTTATATAAGCACCGTGGGGATCACTGGAGGAGACACATTACAAAACTCTTTATAAGAAACCAGAAATAACTAGAAGGAGGACTGGGCGTGGAGGGAATTGTTTGTTTCAAAGGGAAATTGTTTATTTTAAAGAGAAGTAAAAGCGGTATACAAGTAAATTAGCATCTCCTTACTAGCAGAAATACACAGCAGAGCAGTTTTTGCTCACTGACAAGTAAGGATACGTACAGGTTGAAGCAGCCCTTTTCTGGTGAGAAGAAAGGTCCCAACCAGGCTGCCATGCATGCAGAGTAGAGCAGAGGAGCAGCAATGGGAGCTGTGAGGCAGCAATAACAAACCGCTGTGTATCCACCAGGAGCAGACAAAGAAATGTCTTAATTTAGAGCAGACATTTATGTTAGCCACTGGAAGAAGTCTTCTCCTGACGCAGATAGCAGTATATTGGAATTGACCATCTATGTACATTTAAGCCTATCCCCAACCTCAGTGGGCCAGAGCTCTCCTGGTGATGCCATGCTCAGCACACAGAGCTCCTTCCCCGGGCACAGAGCTGGCAGGTGCTGCTCTGAGGCACTCCTTTATTTTCTGTGATTTCTGGCAGATTTGCACTCGTGCACAAGGTGAGCCAGCTACAGAGATCAGGTTCAGCATCTGCCGTTTCCAGGAGCGCTGTCTATTAGCAGACAACATCCTCACCAGCCACTGAATTTCTCTGTTAGCCAAGTACTATCCCTCAGCTCACTGAAATTCCAGGATTATACCTTCTATTTGTCCGCTTATTTGCTCTAGATTTGATCTGACCTGGGGATTTACCATGCGCTATCTCAGGACACTATTTGCTGACACAAAGTCCTCAATTTGTTATGAACTGAAAACCTCCAAACCTCTCCTTCATGAGACAGAGACCCCAAACCCCTGGAGTCGTCCTCACGAGATGAGGATGATAGTGCAGCAGGAGGGCGGTGTGGAGCAGTTCTGGGGGCATGGCGAGGAGCCCCTGCAGTGCTGCCATTTCCACCACCTACAGCACTGCCCCCATAAAGGACAGCATAAATACAGATGAGCAGTAAGACATCTCATTGCTGTTGGACAGCCGGGTCCACCTAAGAGTATTTTCTGGTCTAGAAGCTCTTGGAAATCTCAGTTATGAGACTGGAAATGGTTCATAGGTTGCTCTGAGAACTGTGTTATTGTAGCAGCGATTCCTCATCTACATTCCTCCCCATTACCAATGGCACTTTTGGGCACTTTGCTCACACAGTGACACCAAGCACTGCTACTCACATTTGCTTTTACTTCCCATGTGCCTATTGCAGCCCATGACCCACAGCTCCCAGGCCTGCAGTGCTGTGGCTGTACTGGGCTGGGGCTCAGTATTGTGCAAGCACAGGGGAACCCAAGCAAGAAGAAACAAACAAAAGTGCTTCCTGCTTTTCCAAATATTTACAGAAGGCTGTGATGTTTTGGGTTTCCCACATTGCAGCATAAGATCTTCAAAGATAATCATCTTTGCAATTAACAAAACCCAAAACCTCCCCTAAGTTATCAGACATAGTCTGGTCCACAGTGCCTTTTGGTGCATACTGTGCTTGAAGTTTTTATAAGCTGCCGGGGTTGGAATGCATCCCACTGAGTTCACTGCCAACAGAAGGACACACAGTGTAAACATTACGCATTAATTCAGGTCCTAGGGCTTATGAACACTTCTGAAACTGTTTCTGTACCACAGTAAACATACTTGATAACTAATTCAAGGCATCTGAATTAGCAGAATAATTAATCCTCACTACTATTCCACGCTTGTTCTTCACACTGAGAAATGGCTCCAGAGCAACAAGCCCCGGGGCTGCTGCGGTATCAGTGGTGGGACGGCATGAGTGTGGGTCACCCGCTCAGCATCACCGCCGTCCTCCTCAGACGCTGCTGCACAGCAGTCATTAAGTGCAACGCACACAGTGTTAATACAGTTTACTTTTCACCTAACAAGTGAGATGCTCACACATTTGCATTACCTGCTCTTGTGAATCACAGCGAGTCCCGGAGATGGTCGGGATTACGCTCTTTTTAGTGGGAACGAAATACATCAGCTGCTCCTGCTTGCTCATCCCTCCTCATGCGCTCCCCCTCTCCTGCTGTCTGACACACGATTCCAGGGATCAGCCGGTGGAAGAGACAGCACAAACAAAGCAAAGAGACCCAGCTGGAATGAATAACCAACAAGCAGACACTTCCCAGCAAGTCGATTTTCTGCTATGAAGCCGTTCCAACTCCAAGAGAGAAAGGGAGGTGCAAACCTGACTGAGGAGGTAGCAATGAGAAAACGTCTCCCTCGACTCACCAAAAGGAAGCTGTTCTTGTCAGCAGCACACATGCCATGGCACTCCGAACAAGCCAGGAATAAGAGAAGTGGAGATGATGACTTCATCGGAGGCAACAGAGGAGAGGTATGCCCGGAATGCTGGGCAGGCCAGCGGCTGGGGAGGCTCAGCAGGAGGCTGGGAACCGCCAGGTTCCTTCACAGCACCACCGTGATGTGCTTTAAGGAACAGAGACTTGAGAATGCAAGAAAACTTCACCAGATCCTCAGGAGTTTCCTCAGAAAACTAAGAGCTCATCAGAACCCAAAGCTGATGGAACAGACCCTGCACGCAAGGCTTGGCGAGGGCAGGCTGGCTGCTGACCTGGGCAGTGACCCAGCAATGGAGGTGTGCTCTGCTCTGCCAGCCCTCCCCGTGCTGCCCCATTGGAGCGGGGCTCTGCAGCACCTGCCTGGAGCTGCGGCAGGGCGGAGTTTCTGCGAAACCAGAGGGAACAGGAATTACCGGTCTCCTGCTCACACAATTACCCTTTGTGAATTAATTTTATTGCTTAATGAATTTAGCTGTTATTTCTCTAATTTCAGCATTATCTAGTAACTCCTTGTCGCACACCCAACAGAGGAGAGGAGGAGGTGCACAGTGACAGAAGTGATTTATTTCCCGTGGCTCACAGTAGCATTGATGAGTTAAAACAAATCCCTGGAGAGATGTTTGCAGTGTTTGTGTGATTCAGAACAAACAGAAGAGGTTGGAGGAGAATCTGCGTTTTGAGGTGGCCACGTGAGTCCAGGAGGGAAGATGGAGCTT